GATTTAAATTTATATTATCTTTTTGCAAGATCTAGAATTTTAGTTATTAATGCTGGCTCATCCTTGGCATGTTGCCATTTCCAACTTTCATTGGAGATGATTACACAGTTTGTCCTATTTTTAGTGTTTTGCCATCTTTTGTTGATGTGGAGCATGATTGTGACTTGTGACATTGATTGGCGAGCTATGGATGATGTAGTCTGATTCTTGGAGAATATTCGAGGACTAAGTTTATAAGAAGATGATGTGTATGAGCTCAATTTTAGATTATTTTGACGAACTTGATTATTATGGAGATAACTTTGGAGATGACGTGGAGATTTCACAAAGTAGGTGTCAAATTTTAAATCTGCCATCTAATCCTTTTTCTTTACCTTTTACTCTTTCCCAACTTTTTCTTATTTCTCAGCCTGAGCCTGAGTTGCCTTCTCATGTTCCTAGTATTGCTTCTTTATTTGTAATGTTTTCTTCTTCTGATATGTTACTCATTTATGATTCTTATGATTCTCATTCTTAATCTAGTATTGAGTTGAGTGTTTTCTGTCTTCCTCATATTAATCTAAATGTTAAGTATGTGCATGAAGTTAAGAATCTTGCTTTTATTTCATTGGTAAAGCCTTTAATCAATTCTAGTATTGAGTATTTCTTTGTTCTAACGGTTGTGTCACTTTGGCTAGAGTTTCAAATGTATGTCCCCACTTATGAGTGTTATTGAGAGCCTTTGCTTTACTATTGATGCTAAAGAATTTATATATTCTCTTGAGAGTGTGGACATTATTATTGATTTTCTCGTCTTAAGTGTTGAGTTGAGTTGTGTGTTAATAAAGTTATGAATCTTTTGTTTATATTGTGGTGGCCGAAGTATTTTATAATAGAAAGTCCCTTATTTTCCAAGCTTTAAATATATATCCTTTTTTTGATTTCCCTATTTTTGCATGGCCAATTGTTATAAATTTGTCTTTCGATGCTTTTTTATCCACTTTTCCTTCTTCCACATTTGTTTTTCCTCAATTTTTCTCATTTTTTCTTTTCTACCCCAATACTTTTAACTTTTTTTTTTTTGGAGGGGTAGAGGGGATGGACAGGAATCTTGCCTCGATGATGGAGTGAGGAAAAATGAATACATTAGTGGAATGAAGATGAGTGACATGGATTGTAGAGTAAGGATGAGTCCGAATGGAACATTTGACCCTAATGTAATAATGTCGAATAGATAAGATAGTGGAGTGAGGCTAAATATAGATGGTAAAGTAAAAACAAACATAATGAGTGCAAACAAAGATAGTGTTTTAGAACATTTTTTCTTTTGAGAAAGGGATAAGGAAGATATGGAAGATGAATAGAGTGAATTTAACCTTTTATATGCAGTGCTAAATGACAATAATGGTTGTTTTAGTTATAATTCTAAATTTAAGTTAATGGTGGTCTTGGAGGATCATCAATAGACAAACTTAGAGACAGGATGTATTGTTTGCTACAATAGTGCTCTATAGATTGTCAAAGTCCCTTGTTTTGATTCAAAATTATGGTTGTGTAGTTGATTTGAACATTTAAGAGTTATATATAGAGTTGCAATTGATTCACTAAGATTCCATAGTTGAATGATGCTTATACCATGGCTTTTATTTCAATCATAGTTTTCAACAATTTTATTGATGGTTTTATGAAAGCTTCAAATTTTTATAATAGTTTATAATTGTCCATTAGAAGTTTCAAATGTTCCACTTGAGTTATTGCCATCACCTTTTTATATTTCGGAGGGGAGGATAGTGTAAGGTTTGTAAATACATATATTACCTTGGTTAGGTAATACAATACTATAATATATAGACCGTCCATTTAGGGATTGAATTTGGTTCATCTATTCTTCTTATATAATCAAGGATCTAAATCCAAATTAAAATACCTATTCCTATATCTTGAGCACTCACAATATTAAAATATTAAAAAAAAGTTAATATAAATTATGTAATTCATTTATTTTTCTTATATTAAAATAAAAAATAAGGTCAATATTCTACTTAGTTTTGAATTAAATACTTTATTGGTATTGCAGTATTATATTTCAAAATTACTTAGAATGCCCACTTTCTTTTTCAAAATATTATAGTTAAAAAAGGTAGAATTGCCTACTTTTGTTTATTATAACACAGAAAAATTAATAATAATAAATTATAAACTAAGAAACAGAAATAATCAAGAAACAATTTAACAAATATAATTTGCTATGTGTTGCATGTAGAAATGTTTAGTTTGCTTTATAGTAGTGTTATTCTTATTTATGAGTTCAATTTAGCTAATGGAAGTTTATAATTATAAACATGTTTATAATTTATAAACACAACATTAAAATTATTGAGCATTAACCATTAGATGGTAGAAAAAACACTAGGAAGTGTTTAGGAAATTTTATAAATTATAAATATGTTTATAAATTATAAATACAAGATTAATCTAATTTGATAAAAACCATTAAATGGTAGAATCCTAGAATATTCAAACATAGTTTAACCACCCACTCCCCTACAGATTTTGCTTAAGAAAACCAATAAACGTGTTAGTGAATAAAATATTATTAATAACACATAGAAAAAGTGTCACTAATATTAGATATACAAAAATCTTAAACTTAATTAATTAGCTACCACACTAAGAAGATACTACTTGGTAGAATAATTTAGAATGATTATTATTGCTATAATTTTATATTTTTGGTTTGCTTAAGTAAAATTGTAAAAGGACTCAGTGTTATTGTTTTTGATGTAGCAATACACAAGATTGAGATGGTAGTGAATATACCTAGAATATTCTTGGATATTTTAAGATATTCTACAATCTAATGGTTAATATTCATTTAAATTAGTTTTGTATTTATAATTTTTAAACATTTTAGTAATTTATAAACTTTCCTGAAACTTTCTAGTATATTCTAGTTTATTCTACTATCTAATGGTTAAGATTAATATTATAGTTATAAATTATAAACATGTTTATAATTATAAACTTTCATTTGATCAATTAAATTAATAAATAAAAATAACACTACTGCTGTATGAAATAGGAATAACACTATTATTAAGCAAACTAAACAATATTTGCACACACTTAGAACCCTAAACTAATTTCTCTTTACAGGATTAAAATGTTGGCACAGATTTCCTTTTAACCAAACCTCAGTAAACCATCGACATGGAGCAATGTCATGCAGTCCCTAGAGTATTTCATCAAGCATTGCAGCTCCTCCTCCGTCCGCTAGTTCTGCCTCTGCTCGACATCCAAAGTAAGAAAGGTGGATGTGAAGCTCGGATCCATACCTTCCTGCGAGCTCAACACCTCTTCAGATCCACGGCCACTTGGATGTAATCTCCACACTGCTCTATCGTTAGCCTCTCGTCTGCCAGAAGCTCCATAAACTTGTTAGTGATCCCCCACAGCGGCTCCCCGAGCTTCTTCTCAAGATGGCACCTCTGGCAGTGGCAGTCGTCGACCTTCTCACCACCCGTGGCCACAGCGCGTAGCCATACGACCGCGCTTCCGGATTCCATGTCGCGAGCAGCGTACACGAACATGGACTTTCCGAACTTGCGCATGCTCACGTTGGGCAGGCAGTGATTGATGAAGGCTGGCAGCGTCCAGAACCCCACGAACTCGTCGCTGTAGTTTTCGGAGAGAACGAACTCCGTGGAGCAGCCCAGGATGTTTCGGATCCTCATCACATCAAACTCGAGCTCTTCTGTTGCAACTGGTCTGCGCATGTTCATTTGATCCATGCTCGGATCTTCCTTGTCCACCAGCTTGCTGGGAGAAGGCCGCATAGACAACTGATCCATCGCGGCCTCGGCCATGCTATGCCGTAGAGTTCTTGGAGATGCCAAGCACACCTGGAGAAGGCTGGCGAGGAGCTCCGTCTTGTTGTCTCCTTGATCCATCTTCTCTCGCATGTCCCGCGTGAGTGGAACTCTAACCGAGACGATGAGCAAATCCCCCTGACGGACATCCGTCGTCGTGAAGATCCCCCTCGCACGCCCGTTCTTCGTCACCTCGACTCAAACGGGACCGACGAACTCCGCAACGTTTGGAGGACTTTGCTTGCTACAGCCTCCCGTGAGAAACTTGGAAAGATCGCGAAGGCCGGACTCGCTCTGCTCCCTGAAGATCCTGGCTTCCTCCAACAAACGCTGGAGTGATCGGGCTTTCAGGCTCTCTTCCAGGCAAGCTTCCGCACGACCGTACTGCCGGAGCTTCCATAGTGCTCAAATTTTCGGGAGGAGGCTCCTCTCGTTTCCAGCCCGGAGATCCAGCGCGCTCTCAGCGTCCTCGAGAGCCTTGTGAGCCCATCCCAACTGGAACCACAAGGCACTCCGCTCGACTGGAGAGTCTCACGAATCGATCTTCCTCGCTCCGTGAGAGTTTTTAACGCTTGTATATAGAGCTCCACTGCCGTGGCGAAGTTCCGCTGCGAGAAATCCTTGCTTAGTGCGTCTGGATCGTCCGGGAATCTTGCAAAGACGAGCAGCGTGACAAACTTGAAGTGCTGCCGGATTGGAAATCCGCAGGCACGTACCTAGGCGAAGAATCCCGCTCTCCACAACGCAAGGCTCGTAGACGACGATCTCGGCGCCCTAGGGCAGCATCTTCTCCGGCTCTCGAGTCATGGGGTGGTAGCGAGGAGGCGATGACGATCTGGAGATGGACGCTCGCAATGCGAGGCCTCGCGAGCTCTTTGTCAAGCTCCGGCCCCTCCAACGCTGGATCCACGCAACACTTCGATGGAGTAAACGGTCAGTATAGCTCTTCTCATTCCTCTTGATCAAAAGAAAGAAAGAACACGAGAAGTCTGGAAATTTGGATCCAGGCCAGAACTCGTGGAGACGCCGATGGAGTACATGGTCAGTATAGCTTCTCATTTTTCCTAGATCTCTGGAAATTTGCACAAAGGGAGGTACGTTGCTATCATAAGCTTTGTGGTTTCTAACAGGATCTTCGCAGCGTAATGCCTGAAAAGCCATCATCGTCCCGGTCAGGAGCTCACATACTTGGTGACAGCCTTGGTTCCCTCGGAGATTGCGTGCTTTGCGAGCTCGCCAGGGAAGATGAGCCTGACCGAGGCCTGGACCTCGCGGCTCTGAATGGTGGGCTTGTTGCTGTATCGAGCCAGCCGCCCGGCCTCGGTGGACAGCCGCTCGAACATATCATGGACCAGGCTGTTCATGATGTTCATGGCTTTGATCGAGATGCTGATGTCCGGGTGGACTTGCTTGAGTACCTTGTAGATGTAGATCTTGTACGAGTCGCCCTGGAGCGCCTTGAGCTTCTTCTTGGAGCTGTGCTGCTGCTGCCCCGACGATCCGCCGCCGGTGGATGGGAGTTTCTTCACGGCCTTCATTCTCGAGTCCAGCTCTGCCATCGGTAGTGATCGTTGCGCTGGCCGCTCGAAACGTTTTAAAGGTGGAGAGCTGTAGTCGTGGAGATTCCAAGTGTTGTGACGCTCGGCTCGAGAAAACCAGCCATGTCAGCTGACAACGGAACCGGAAGAGCACCATTATCATCTCGGTTTGGTTACGAGGTAAAAAGTTTTACTGGTTTTACGATCTTGAAATCTCCTCAGCTAGCCCGATTCTCACGTCTTCGTCATGGCTCGCGGAGCTGCGCAAACTGATTCCGACAGCAATAGAAGTTCCCGGAGCTCCAAGTCGGATGGATAATGCAGCAACGCTGGCACAAGAGATCACTTATCTCCCAAAAGCCCTTCTCAAGGATTGAAATGCCTCTTTATTCGCTTGAGGGAGGGGTCGAACCTCCGACCTTGCGGTTAACAGCCGCACGCTCTGACCATCTGAGCTACTCAAGCTTTACAATAATTAATTGTAATTTCGACTAAAAATTAACTAGCAGTAGCATTTTCTTTGGGAACTTGTGACTGAGAAGCTGTTGTTCTTTGCTGTTCTTGAAGCGGAGTTTTTGCTGGTACCAATTGCTCGCTCGCTTGGAAAGGGCATTTCTTCTTTTCACTTAAGTCTTGTTACATTTGCAGGCTGGGAAGCTGAAAGGGCATTTCTTATCGAGTGGAAGCTGGATCAATCCCGGACCTTCAGAGCTAGATTGAAGTTGTGATCAGCAAACACAGAGGCTGATTGATAAACATTCAATGGACGGACAGAAACCGAATGTTACAAACGAGTGAACACTTACAAGTCAGAAGGATACAAGCAAATTAATGCCGACGAGGTGGTAGTATAGTAATTTTCTTGTGTCTGTTGGTTCTTCCTGTCCCTGTTGATGAATTCGCTGTGCTGTTCTTCCTTGTTTGTACAGGAGAGAGAGACGGCGGCTAAGTTGGAAAGAATCGACTGGCGAGGCTGCCATCGCCATCCTCCTCGGGTAGTGTTGGATGCGGCAGCTCGAAAACCAGGTCGTAAGATCGCTTGTGCTTGAGCTTGGCGAGAGTGGCGGAGAGATCATCCGTGCATTTGTTGATGCGCTCCAACAATCCGGGAAGCGAATTGAGAGCCTCCAACCGTCTCGTCTGGATCGCAGACAAATCACCTGCGAATTTCCAGACATTCTTCTCTCACTCAATCAGGAGGAATGAGAAGCTAGCTATGTACTGACCATTTACTCCATCGAGATATGGCGTGTGTAGCGGCGGCTCTAGCGTTGGAGGGGGCCGGAGCGTGACAAGATGCTCCTGGAGCAAAGATTTAAACCTGGCGGGGCCTTGGCTGCGCATTCTCTTGACGCGCGCGTCCATCTCTCTCACCTCCTCCTCCAGAGCCTCCAGATCGCCATCGCCCTCTCCCATTCCCTCCAATCCCAAGAGCCCTAATGTTGAGAACCCTAAAGTTTTTCTCCATCTCCTCGCTCGAGTGCTCTCCATTGGGAATCACTGGCACCGGGGCATGGTTTCTGGGGCGGCATTGTGGATTGACACAGGATGTGATCGAGAGTGATGTGATGATCCAAGGTAAACACTCAACGAACTACAGGAATATTTTGAGAATATTCGGAAGATCTTGCGAAGTATATAAGCAATTAAAGTGAATAAGACAGTTAACTAATGTAAAGCTGGAGTAGCTCAGATGGTCAGAGCGTGCGGCTGTTAACCGCAAGGTCGGAGGTTCGACCCCTCCCTCTAGCGAATAATTAATTTAAAATGAAATAGTTAACCCAAATCGAAATTAATGCTTCCGCATTGCTTTCCCTGATTGTGTCACCAATTGACGAAATCGGCTCCAGCTGCCACTAAGAAAAATGTTCAAGTATAAGAAAATGTTCCAGTAGGGTCTCAAGTTGTGATCCATAACCAGCATTTTGTCGAGGTATGGATCGATCTCTTCTCTTTGGATTTCTTTTGAGTTTGCCGCTTGCCAGCCATAATCTCAGTTTAGCATTCTATAGCGGGACGTTTTTTTGTCGGTTTTGTCCGATCTATCGAATAGCCATGCGAGCGCTTGTGCTCTCTCCGTGTCATGGTCTATAGGTATTGTAAGATCAGACCTTGATTTCTCGAGTCCATATTCATCTGACTTAGGCGACCAGCAACCGTACCGCGCAGTCCGCGGTACTCATATACCGCGCGGCGCGCTCCACCTTGTAAAAAATCTGTAATCGCCTAGGCTTTTCCATTCCGGAAAGACGACGCGATGCCCTTGACCGGTTTGACCGTCAGTCCGTCAGTCAGGCTGCGTGGGGAAACGCACGGCGAAGAAGGAAACGAGGCGAAGAAAAAATCCAATGGCCATGGAGGAAGAGGAGGAGGACGCGGTCGCTCGGGTCTTTCTTTCTCTTGTTCCCTATTCTCTCCTCTTGGCGATCATCGCGGCGCCCGCGACGCTTGTTCTTCTTCTTCTTCCCTTGCGCCGATCTTCCCCGGCCTAGGTCTTGATCTTCAATGCGGTTGCTCCTCCTTGTTTCTTTCTTCTACCTGGATGAGATTTCTGGGGCAGCGCATCATCGCGGCAGGGATTGTAGGCCGCAGCTGGAGCGCGCTTGGCGTTTTCCCGGATTCTTGCGGCGGGTGCGTCATCGTCATGCTGATTCACGGCGCTAGGGACAAGAAGAAGATCGTCGGCGCATTCGCTAGGAGCTCCGCGCGATCCAGCGGCATCGGCAGAGAGATTTCGTGCTGCCGGGGGTGAGATTTCGCGATCCGATGTTCCGGCGCTCATACCGCATTGCCGGATGTCTTGTTGCCGCTTGTTGGATCGTCGCGACAGTCTGTGGTAAGATCGATCGACGCTCGCTCTCATTTATTTCTTTCGTTTTTCTTGCTAGGCGCCAGCTCTGTCGGAGTGTGCTATGGAAGAAATGGGGATAATCTTCCTTCTCCACAAGTGGCCGTGCAGCTCATCCAGGCGCAATCGATCACCAAGGTCAGGATCTTCTCCTACGACGCTGAGACTCTCCAGGCATTCGCAAACACACAGATCGAGCTCGTCATCGGCACCACAAACGCACAGGTTGTGGATTTCGGGCAGTCCCAGGGCGACGCTGCCGACTGGGTGACACGAAACGTAGCGGCAGCTCTTCCGGCCACCAAGATCGTTGCCATTGCCGTTGGCTCGGAGGTGATCACGAGCGCTCCAAATGCCGCTGGCTATCTGGTTGCAGCCATGACCAACATCTACTCGGCTCTCCAGCAAGCCGGGATAGACAAACAGGTGAAAGTCTCGACGCCACTCTCCATGGGTGTTCTTGGGACGTCGTTTCCGCCATCGTCGGCCACTTTCGATCCCAGGTTCTCGGCGGTGATGCAATCGCTGCTCGAGTTTCTCAGCCGGACTGGATCATACTTGATGGCCAACGTCTATCCTTACTACGCGTACCGGAACGACATGAGATACATCTCCTCCGACTTTGCGCTCTTCCGGCCAAACCAAGGCTTCACGGACTCCGACTCGGGCCTCCACTACTGGAACCTCTTCGATGCTCAGCTCGACGCGCTCTACTACGCAATGGCCGCGTACAACCACCGGGAGATCCTTATAGTCGTGAGCGAGACCGGGTGGCCGTCCATGGGTAATGCGGACGAGGTGAACGTCGTCAACCTCGACAATGCTGCTTCCTACAATGGGAATCTCATCAAGCACTTGAGCAATGGGAGTGGCACTCCATTCCGGCCGGGGATCACAACGGATACTTACATTTTCGAGCTTTTCAACGAGGACTTGAGGGAGGGCCCGACTTCCAACAGGAACTGGGGTCTTTTCAAGCCGGATGGGACCAAAGTGTACAACCTTGATTTTGGTAACAGTGTTGTGGTTCAGCGGAACCGGAGCTTTTGCGTCGCAAATCCGAATGCCAGCTTCACAGACTTACAGATTGCGCTGGACTGGGCCTGCGGACCAGGCCATGCCGATTGCCAGGCTATTCAACCGGGCCAGTCCTGCTATCTTCCCGACACGGTTGCTTCACACGCATCGTATGCGTTTAACAGCTACTTCCAGAGCAACGGGATGGATCCCAGTGCTTGCGACTTCTCAGGAGCAGCAGCCGTCACGATTGCCGATCCGAGTTAAGTTTATCGAGAAAGTTTTGTGTTTTCTAACTTGACGCAAATGGCTGGCAGCCTACGGCTCGTGTATCTACAAAGGAAGGTAAGTTGTTATCATAGGATTTGTGGTTTCTTAACAGGATCTTTACAGCTTAATGCCTGGAAAAGCATTGTCCGCTCGCGATCCTCGGCTTTTGCTCCCACTCGCTGCAATACTATTCACCAAATTTTGTCTACTCTGAGAGGTAATTACCATTTTGTCCATCCACACCCCGGTCAGGAGCTAACATACTCTTAGTTCCCTTGGAGATTGCGTGCTTTGCTAGCTCGCCAGGGAAGATAAGCCTCACCAAGGATTGGGCCTCGTCTTGGATTTCGCAGCTCTGGATGGTGGCCTTGTTACTGTCTCTACCCGGCCTCGGTGGACAGCCGCTCGAACATATCATGGACCAAGCTGTTCATGTTGTTCATGGCTTTGATCGAGATGCTTATGTTCTGGTGAACTTGCTTGTAGATGTAGATCTTGTAGGAGTCATTCTAAAGTTCTTCTTAAAGCTGTGCTAGCTAGACAACACAACCAGAAGAACGCAATCACCATCTCAGTTTGCTTACGAGGTAACAAGTTTACGCTTTAACAACTTTACGCACGCTTCTAACCAACGTTTTTCTTCTTTCTTCCTCCAGATTAAGCAAACTTGCAGGACGATCGTTATAGATGTTACTGGCGGGATAACCGGCCATGCCATTTCAGCTGACAACACTACTGCTAGCACTTCGGTGCGAGAAGCGACCACTTCAGCTGACAACAACACTGTTAGCGGTTTGTTCCTTCACTGGGTTTAAGACAGTTTCTAACGGTCGTTCTCTTTTTTTTTCTTCCAGATTGATGTTGTGATCAGCAAACACAGTTTTTCTTCATTGACGGTGCAACACAATAGCAAATTGATCGTTAGGTCATTGGACGGGCAACGTTGAACGCACACGTTGGCGAGTGTTTTAACATGCCACCTATGCCCTAATAAAACACGTCGGCATGTGACGTGGTTAGAGGAGAGTGCGACACGTAAGCGGGAGCCCAGAATAAAGAGAGATCTGGGCAAAAGAAACTCATACCTTTTAGCTGATATTTTAGTTTTTAACTGATATTGGGACCACGTGTTCCAACGCTATTATCTAATTTTTGGTGGAATAGCTTCTCCTCCGCGTGTCGCGTTGGCCTTAACATTACCGCCTAACAAGTTGAATGCTTTAAAAGAATCTTCATGATAGGCTGGTTTGTACTCATTCCTCTCCAATGCACATGGTAAAACCGTGCACTGCCCGGGAATCGAACCCGGGTCTGTTCCGTGGCAGGGAACTATTCTACCGCTAGACCAGCAGTGCGTTACTTTGTTAAAACAAAAGAAACTTCTCTTGGAAGCGACCTTGTCTGGATCGACATGCCTGGAAAATGTCTCGCTCTATCGCTCCATCACTACTTTCCACAGCGGCGCCGCTGCTCTCGCCAAGATCTACATTTTTTTTGTAGCAGGTGCGGTGCTTGCAGCATTTCGGATAAGTCACGACGACACGCCAGGATGCTGTCCACCTGGGAGATCCTTCTTTAAACTGCTCCTCTTGCCAGGGACGTAGATGCGAAGCTGGGCTCACGAGCTCTGCTATGCAAGTTGTGGACTCGATCAGCCCAACACCACCCTCGACTGGATATAGCGCGAACTTAAAGGGCCCACACAACTCCAAGCGTTCGGGCTTCACACACAGGACGTCGTCCCGACGTAGAATGCCATGTGTCACACAAAGTAAGTTAATATAGACTTGAAAAATCAAGGTCTGATATAATTAAGACTAAAGCAAATCAGCAAGCTCAAAGAAACTTTATGGCCCAAAGAGAAGACGTACCGGGGAGTCCTCGAGAAAATGTCGGTTATGGATCAGCCTAGTGTTTCTAGCCTTGATCTTGTTGACATCGCCCTGATCGCCAAAAATAATAATTGGACAAGCAACGTTTGATTTTTAGCAATGCCTTTATCGTTTTGAGCGAGCGATTTCCAACACCTGCAAGACTACGGGTTATCATCCACAAGGATAAAAATGGAGTATACTTTACCGGATCGCTTACAAGTCCACGAGCTCTCACGCTCTTTAGAACAACCTCACGAAGTTCCTGTGCACGATCAAGCCAGCTTCCTCCCATCAGATTCTCGATCGCGGCCTTGATCCCGTCCTTCTCGGCCTTGTCGATCTTCAGGCCCGCCTTCCAGTCGTGAACAAGCACCTTGCAGTTGAGGTTCTGCTCGATCGCGCATGGCCACCCCAGCACAGGCACTCCGTTTGTCACGGCCTCGAGCACCGAGTTCCAGCCGCAGTGGCTGAGAAATCCTCCCACCGATGCGTGTGACAAAACTTGGAGCTGCGGTGCCCAGGATACTATCCGGCCTCTTGTGAAGGAGGAAGCTCTTGCTGCCTCGGTGATCTCTTTGGTGCTTTCGTTCTTCTGCTCTGGCGGAAGCACCCAAAGGAAAGGCCTCTCCATTTCTAACACTGCCTTTGAGAGTTCCTGGAGCTCCAAGTCGGGTAGCGCAACAACGCTGCCAAAGGAGATGTAAAGCACCGACTTTGGAGCTTGAGTGTCCAGCCAAGCTATGCAGCCACCGTCTTCTTCTCGCAAGCTGTGACAAAGCCTTGTTCTCGCTGGATCCAGATTAAAAAGTGGCCCGACCCCTGTGCACTTCTCTCCAAAAACTTTTCTCAAGGACTGGAAGGCATCTGGTTCCAACTCTTCGGCCGAGTTTATCAGTAAGCACGAGTTGTCACCGAAGTTCCTGAGAGTTTTTTCTTGCTCTTGCATCAAATACTCGAGCGTTCCCTTGAATTCCATCCTTGCGTAGTATGGGAAATCCTTGAGCTTCGTTGGAGAGAGCCCCGGAACGTAGGAAATCGTTCTTTCGTCGCCATCTACGTAAATGGTCACGAGAGAAGAGTTTAAACATATCTTACCTTTAATCGGTGCCTCACCGGCTGATATAAGAAGGGGCAAATGGTAGTGGACATTGATCCAAGTCGCGCTCCCAGGCCAGTAGGACGCACAAGAAACCCCAAATTTCTTGGCAGACTCGACATGCCATCCCCAGAGATAATCTGCGACGATGCACGAAACTCGCTCGCCGCGATTAAGCATCTCTCTCAGCAGATCTTCGAATGGGACCTGCGCGCCGCGAAGGGCCTGGACGAAATTTCCCTGATCTACATGGCAGGACGCATCGTACCCTTGAGGAATGTCGTAGGGGAAATCTAAGCTCTCGAACCGGATGCTGCCCTCCAGCTCCCTTGGCCATGTCCAACGCTCCCGGATCCTGGAATCGATGCTCGCAATATTCACCAGCGTCACGAGCGCGCCGCGATCCGCCAGTGCCGCAGAGAAGCCGATGAGAGGAGGGATGTGCCCCTGGGCAGGATAGGGAAGGACTAGAATGTGAGAAGACAGAGATGCCATGCCCTACCTCGTTGAATTTTCCCGCCTTATAAAACCTTAAATAAATAAAGCAGCCGTTAATTTCAAAAGTATTAACTTATAATAATTTGTTAATAAAAATTATCATTATTAGTTTGTGAGGTCCAGATACGATGCTATATATTAATATTAGTGTAGTGCATATTTATGAATTCTATTTTATATTCCAGTGCACTCACATTAGTGGAGTTAAGAGGCATCTTCAATTGTTCTAGAAGTGGTTTTTTGTTTAGATTTACTTTTTGTATTATCTCTAACTGATCTGATATTCTATCTAATTGATGTAGCAACTAATTTTACTAGTCACATTCAATTGTTTTTATAACTCTAGAATCTAGATTGCTTCAAACCATAGTTAAATGAGTTGGAAGTCCTTAAATATTTCTTGGTGTACTTAACAAAACTCTACAAAGATTTACATCCAATTATACAAGAAACAAAGACATACCAAAACCACACTAAATAAAATCTTTATTTTACACTTGATCAAGGCTGTCATATGGTATCTAACAAGCAAGTGCACATAATTTTTAATGTTGTTCCAAATGAACGTCAAAGGATGACAATCATTTGTGCTATTGCTATAAATGGCTAGAACTTTCCAAATCACTACATATTCTAAAGGCATAATTGAATAAGCTGGTTGAAATTGTGCAAGTCTAGAGCATCCATGCAAGTACAAGTTAATGCATGGATGAGCAACAATGGGTTTACTTATTTGAACATTTTGCAAGAGTCATCCCAAGAGGCATCTCTCCAACAAATTGAGCTTGCATTGTGATGGATGGTCATGCAATCTCTTAATGTGCTGCTTCAAACCTTTTAAAGTAGTGTTCAAAGCCATCCATGCTAAGTACATGGAGATAGGATTTCATGGATACAGTTTAGTAAAGATCTTAGCAGGAATGGCAAGAAGAGCACTTGACAAGGCTCTAACTCTTGCAAACATCATTGCTAGTTTTAAAAAAACTAGACTTTAGCTTCTTGATTGTGCAACTATAGATGCCGAATTTCACATGGCTATAGCTTTATAAAGCATAAGTAAGAAACTTTAAAAAGATGAAGATGAAGAGACTTACATTTGATATAAGTGTGGATGACAATGATGATGATGATTTGGAGCCGTTGCTAAGTGTTATAGTTGCTGTAGATGTAAACTATACAATGGAAGAAGCTCACGAGCCAACAATAGAAGAATTTATAGTTGAACTCACAATACTGTTCTCTACTCAAACTTAACAACACCCATAAGCAGGAGAGAAGCAGAGGTTCGTCTCTATTCCCTATACACTCATTAATATAGAATACATTGCTCATATTGAGACCAAGGAAAAAGCCAAAAAAAAAGACAAGGTAGAAAAAGAGGCAAGAAGAAAAGCTAAATGAGAGGCTATAACAAATGAAAAAGCTTATGTAAAAGAGAAAAAGAGATTAGTTAATGAGAAGAACTAATGGGAGAAGGCAATATTGAGGCAACTTAAAGCAAAATAAGTAACAATAGTAAAAGAAGTATAAAACTTGGAGAGGGAGAAAAGAAAAATGGACAAACAAGTTAGACTTGTTGCAAGAAAAGCTTCAAAGAGCCTTTTCAAACAAGGATTAGAAGTAGTTGTGCAAAAATATAGAATAAACAACATCTTCATCTAATCTTTTCAGCATGACTTTAAGTTAAATTTTGAGCCCGGGGAGGAAATTCTAGTGTTGAACATCCCCTAGCACTACGAGCTTGGAGAGCTTCTTTATAAATAATTACCTTTATTCATTAATTCTTAACTAATTTTGCATACTTCATTTATAGTAACTTCATAGACAAGAGAGGTGACAACCAACTCTAATATTAATCCATTATAGCCAAAACTAAGCCTCTTGTTATTGGTTCCTAGTTGCCCTAAAACTCAAGTGGTTATAGAGTAATCAACTATGATTTTTGAATGGTTAAGCCTTATATTTTTGTACTGTTTTTTTTTTTGATTATAGTGAATATATATGGATTTCCACCTTAAAAAAAGTTTTGGAGATAGCCCATACTATACATATACTATGAGAAAAAAATATTTATTGGATGGGAAATTTATTAACTCATGTTATACACTTTAAGAAATTCTAATCAGTTGGAAAGCACCCCCCTTAGCAGTGTTTACACATGTCTCTAAAGGATGGTATTACAATAGTATAATAATTTAAGTGCAACCACTTGTGTAGATTGGAGTTTTTTTTCTGGACATCTTCAAGTATGCATTTTAATATATTAATGATTGTGATGATATCTTATAGTAATTGCATTATCTCTATCAAGAGCTATTTGAGTTTTTTATACAATTTACTGTTTACTTTGGGAGTTTTTTGCTTCGTGTGGAGCTCAATATGTTAGAATAGATCATGTTGGGTATATTATAACTAGCACTTTGTCAAGATCATATGGGGCCCTTGACAATGCTTTTCAACTAACATAATACTATGATATCATCTCTCCCACTTGTGGAGATTTGCATGTGTTGTAATTCCACCTTCCAATTTTGTTTCAATGAAAGTTGACATTGTTGTTGCCTATGTTCAAGTGGGAGTTGAAGCATGTGTAAATCTTGGGACTTGTGTATGCACTTACCCTAGTCACCTTTAATGTTTCTCTTCAACAGAGACAAGGATGTGATCATGGCTATAAAGTTCATTATTAGGCATATGATAAGATTAGCAACTTATATTAGTGTTGTTGGCTTTTTCTAGCTTGGCATCCCTCATTTCCTAGGTGAAAGCCTTAACATTAACAATATCATATTAGTGTTGTGTGAATAATTTTATACTTCTTTCAGGAATAAGGATTCACTTGGTATTAGTTTATCTAATGTTCACTTTTTAAGTTTAGTTTTATAACAAAAGGTCCCTTTGTTATCTCCTTTGTGTTAGTTGATATAGTTTAAAGCTTATTTTCTATAATGCTTTATATTGTTTTCTACATTTGTATTATATGATAGAGCTAGTTTTTATTATCCATGACAATGGCCATACACATATATGTGTGTGGGATGAGATAGACTTAGTTATGCATGTGGGTGATCATAAACTTGAGCTACAATCATTGTAAATAGTGCTAAATTAAGTTTTTGATATCATTTTTGTGCAATACAATCATGCCAAATATAACTTTGAAGCTTCTCCCTTTTTGTTTCATACTCCTTTATATCTCTTTTATTCCTTTCACTTTTGTTCCATTGACAAATTTATCATTGTTTTGAAGTTCTTTACTCTAAAGTATATAAATCATATGCGATGCTTTCTTAGTAAGATGCAATATTTTGATAATTTTGTTGATCATTTTTCTAATTATACTACACCATTATAAATGTTGCTAAAGTCATCAGTGTCATCTTTCATTTAGTCTGAGGATTATAAGTGGACATTTGTGGATCTTAAAAAGGTGTTAACAACTCCTCTAGTTTTGGCATGTCTTAGTTACACTTGACCTTTCATCTTATAAGTGAATACTTTTGATATTGGTCTCAAATGTGTGTTGATGCAAAAGAGTGATGACAAAGGAGTGTTTAGCAACAATGGTGTTCGTCCCGTGTCCAAATTCACAATCTAAGGACATTCCATATTTAGTAAGTTTCGAGTTTGTCCCAGAGACTAACTCCTGATACTAAGGGAGGCTTGGGGTGAAAGCCCAAAGCGTGTGTTCCTCAAGGGGGGGGGGGGCTATGGGGGGTTCCAAATGTATAGTAGGGATAGTGGGTAGGTCGGGCATGGCCGACCAACCTGAGGCATAGTCTAGCTCCCGCTTGCGTGCCTGTCCTTGTTCTGCGTCCGGCTTGGGTCTAAGCCCAAGTTCCATTCCATGCTAGTTGGTGGAGTACCCATATCCTCGCGTTAGGCCACCGGTATGCCGAAATAGCGCCAGACTCCGTTTGGCTCCGTTTTGCGTGCTGGTCCTGGCATTGGGATGCTGGTTGCTCTAGGACTGTTCCAAGTCGCTCCGGGCCCCTGTCCCTTCGCTCCTTGGGCTATATGCTCGGGAGTTGCTCTGTGGTCCGGTTTCATCACTCCTTGGCGTCAGGCTTGGGAGTTTGGCACCGTTCCTTCGTTCAGTGGCCCAAGGCCCTGAACCTCGGGTTCCTATGGACACGTGGCACGGACACGTGGTATGTGACACATGGCATCTGTCACGTGGCACAAAGAGGGTTTAGGTTCCGCTTCGTGGTGTTATCCTATGGTAAATCACCATAGGATAAAGGGTCAAAACCACGTGCGCTACATTTGGTATCAGAGAATGAGTCTCAGCGAGTACTATTCAATGAGATTGGGCAACTAGTCTTGTTGCATACGCAGAGATGAAAACGATGATCCGAGTGGGTACACGTTTGGGTGCAATGACTTCGCAATCGTTCCTTGGGTATGGTTTTGGTTACCGTTTTGTACCGTATTATATGAGCTTGCTCTTGGGCTCATAGGAAGGATTGAGTTGTTCCAGTAGCACGAGTTTGCGCTTGGGCTCGTGAGTGAGGCACATTAGCAACTTGAGGTTACACTTTGAGTTGGCAGGATTAATGTTAGCCTATCGTTGGTTCCATGAGTTGTTCCATGTACCATGGGTGAAAGCAAACCTCCCTGGGTTTGCTATGAGTGGCAAATAGGCTGGTCCGTAGCTGTTTAGCACGGCACTAGTGGATCCTTCCTAGGTATGATTATAAGTGGATCAATCAAGACTATAGGGATTAGTCTATTGGTTCAAGTAATCATGACCGTGCTCTCTCATAAATTTTTCTTGGATTGAACTGAAGGCAGTGCGAAAGCAAGCTTGAGGTTTAGTCAAGATGAGGCCGGAAAGAGAGTCGTCAGGGACGAAGGATCAAATACGTAAATCATTCTCTCTTCTTGGAAAGATGATTTGCAACGAGGTGTTAACTCATTGCTTGTGTTCACATCATGCAATCAAGAGTCCCTACCTTGATGCATGTTGGAAGTGATGGTCTTACAAGTGGTGAGTT